ACCACACTGCCTCCTGTGCAAATAGGTTTTCTGGCTAACCCCCTGGATTTACATTTTAAATTATGCCAAAATATTGACTCATTATTCAAATGCATGCTATAATTGAATCCTGTATGGTTAATATTGTCAATAATTTACAGTATCAACTCAAGCTGGTATCACAGTTTGTGGTTGGCTAGAAATAAGATCAGATGATAAGTTAGACCTGAAACTTCCTAATTAACTAAACTAGCCTCTTCCACTTTCAGAAGGAGAGGCTTGTGGCCTGGCCTTCTTTAAAATAAGCAAGCTAACAAAATAACAAGTGCTGTGTATAAAGTTTGTCTTTTTTCTGAAATTTTCTGATAAGCTGCAGCCCAGGGTAGGGACTGAATGAAACCTGGAAACTAAGTATCGACATGAAAAGAAATAGATTGTATGGGCAACTTTAATCATTTAGGTGGGTCTTTCAGTAAAGAGCAGAAGCCAAGTTTTGTTGCATTTCAGAGCACTCCCAGACTGCCAAAGGGAGGCAATCATGTGGGGGAAAGGGCTCCAGACTTTAAGAACATTCAGTTTTTGTGGTTTTACTAAAAACCAAAATACTTGGTTGTCGTGCCTAAAATGTAAAGAGAAACTGTAGCGCAATCTTAGCCAACTGGATAAAATACCTAAGGCAGCCTACTAGGGTTGGGGGCAGAATGACAGGAGAGAAAAGTCACCTGAGGTTCAGGTATGAACATGTCACTCTCTCTGGCTTCGCTGTCATGATTCTGATTTAACCTAGATTGTTACCATTACAGCAAAAGTCTCTCACTGTATTCCTTCTGTGCAGTTTTACAAGCAGTGAACTCTAAAATAGAAAAAGGAGAAGTACAAACCATATAGGGTAGCTCCTAAGCTTCCTCGGAGCTCCTTTCCTCTGGGTTTCAGTCAGCACAACCCCCTTGTATCTCGCAACCATCTTTTAAGGCTGCATTTCTCAATGTTTTAGCATGGGCTGCATTTTAATATAAAGATGGCTGTGTGGACCATCTCTGCTCCTATTTGCCATCCCATAGCATCTCTTTGGCAAACTGGCTACATGGGAACATCACATAGGAAAGTATTTAATATATGTTTGCTTCTTTTAATGCAGTTTAGCATCTGCAAATAACAAGGAGCTGGCACCATAGGCGTGGCCAGCTTTCCATGGCCCACCAGCAAATGCCTCACATACTACAATTTGTAACTTTTATTTTAAAGTAATGAGCCCAAACAGGCTCAGTTGCAACTAATTAGCTCCCAGTTGGTACTTCCACCCTGCTCCTGCTGTACCCTAGATGAGAATTAACCCCTGAAACTATAGGTTTGGCATGGCCTCCTCCAAGGACACCACTAGAATGGGATACAATGGGGCTTTTGGGGATGCTGGAAAATCTGTCCAGCTGTTACTCTCCAATACTCTGTATCCACCAAGTCCTATCCTGTTCTTTTGTAAACACCTAATACTATGCCAGAAACATCCTTTCAGCCAGTGATCTGCATAGGAGTCATTTGCATTATGATTCCAGCTGGTGAAATGGTTGTAGCTGTGCTGGGAGGAGATGCAATTGCCTGCCAGCTACAAGGACAAACAAAATTGACAATGCTGGGCTTACTACTGGGGATTTGTGAAGCCTCCCAAAGGACAATATGGGGCCAGGGGTGAAGTCAGGCACCAGAAATTGGCTCTCACGTACTTTTCTATGAATTACATTAAATATCCCAAATGTTGATATTTTTTTGACACACAAAGCTGCGGTCACTGGCAGAAATTATGATATTTTTACCCTGGAACAAGTCCACAAACATTTGCTTTGGAGGGGCCATCTCTGGGAGAGAAAGGGGAGTTCCCTCCCTATTCTTGTTCAGGCCCCCATGATCTCTGCTGAGACTGTCTACATAGATGCTAGTTAGCTCAATGGATCCACTGTGCCAAACCCCAAGTCTTTAAATTTTAATGACTGAAACAATTGTTCAGTGGCAAGGGCTTTTGGCTACTACAATACAACAGCAAGCTGGGCCTGAACTGGTGACCTAGGGATGAAGGGCTCTAGATCATGTTTCAAGTCCTCTCAGCCATACTGGGGGCACAGGGAAAAGAGTGAACATATTTGGTTTTATCTTTGTTTAAAAAGCCCATTGCCCAGTAGTTACGATGGTACATCCAGATATGCTTATTTTTATTTTAAATAAGCCCTTTTTTGAAAAGGACCTTCAATTGGTCTGATCAGCAGAGAAGTGGAGCTCATTTCCAATTGCTCCTGCTTGGGTCTTGCCTATACTGAGTAGTTGCCCCCATTTTCAGCCATTAATGGCCAGCTTCTGGTATAGCTGCCCTGGTACAAACCCCAAGTGTAAACAGGCAAAGCCACTATTTGTACTGGTGTCAAGTATCAGCGGGTAGCCGAGTTAGTCTGTATCCACAAAAACAATGAGGAGTCCAGGGGCACCTTAAAGACTAACAGATTTATTTGGGCATAAGCTTTTGTGAGTAAAAAACGCACCTCTTCAGATGCATGGAGTGAAAATTACATACATCTGAAGAGGTGGGTTTTTTACTCACGAAAGCTTATGCCCAAATAAATCTGTTAGTCTTTAAGGTGCCACTGGACTCTGTGTTTGTGGCATTTACCCCAGTTTGAAACCTCTACCACTGCTAAATGTGGCTTTCCTTAACTATACAAATGTTTACTGCTGCAGCTACACCAATGGCCGTAACTGGGGCAAATCCTCAGTGCAGACAAGGCCTAACAGTGAATGCCCATAGCTGGTTTTAAAATGTTGATGTTTGCACGTGTATCAAAAGTTTTAGCAAAGCTAAAAATAGAAATAGGAATTTCGCCCCACTTGACTCCCAATAGACTTGGAGTGGGATTTTCAAAGCATCTAAGTGTCATAGGAGCACAATTCTTCTTCGCTTTCAATATAGCTTCTCTTTGTAAATCACCTAAGAGCTTTTGAAAATCCTGCCCTTTACCTTTTGATAGATATATATATTTCTGCTATGAAAATACTACAATCAAAGTTTAAGTCAAGGTGACGCAATAACACTCTGCTATAGTGTAAGACGGGGTTCTCAAACTTCATTGCACTGTGACCTCCTTCTGATAACAAAAATTACTACACGACCCGGGGGGGCAAAGCTAAAGCCCACAGGCTTCAGCCCTGGGCGGGAGGCCTGTAGTCTGAGCCCCATCGCCTAGCACTGAAGCCAAAGCCTGAGCCCCGCTGCTCAGGGCTGAAGCTCTTTGCTTTGGCCCTGGGCAGTGGGGCTTTGGCTTTGGGCTCCTGGGCCCCAGGAAGTCTAATGCCAGCCCTGGTGACCCCATTAAAATGGGGTCATGACCCACTTTGGGGGCCTAACCCAGAGTTTGAGAACTGCTGGTGTAAGACAAGGGGGTACATTCATTCAGTTGTCTTTTCTTGGATTTAAGTAGGGTTACCATATTTCAACAATCAAAAAAGAGGACGGGAGGAGCCCCTGTCCTAGCCCCGCCCCTGTCCTAGCCCCGCCCCTGCCCCTTCCACT